TACTGCCTCAGTAAACTTGTATTTACTTTGTCTTATTGATGAAGGCCACACAATATTTCTCTTTCTTTCCTGTATTCTCCACAAACTGCTGAAGGCATCAAAGCATTTTCTCAGTGTTTATGAGGCTGGAGACACAGTTGAAGCTCGATTTGTTTAACAGCACAGTTGTGTTTCAGATTTGATCAGTACCTAGTTGCATCCAGAATGATCTGGAGAAGGTGAAGACCAAAGTCCCAGTCTGATGTTTTAGTCACATTTCAGCTTGATGGTTTTTGTCAAGGTATTATCTGTCTTCTGTCAGACATTCGAGCCCCTGTGGAGGCCATGTGCTCCTCTCCCTGCCAGCTGAGGCAGGTGAATTAGGGCCAGCTGCACCTGACTTCCTACCACCAGCAGACAAAGCTTCCAGGTCCCCAGGTACAAGCAGCTCCATTTATTTTCATCAGCACAAGCCTCCTTCTCTTGGGTTTGCCTGAGGAGAGTGTTCGCCCTTTACCACTCAGCCTAATTACTGACTCACACTAATGGCTCATTACTGATTCAAATTGCTCAGTCTGTTGGCTGCATAACTGGGCCATTAGCATTTTCTAGAGGTAAGACTCTTGGAAAACAGCACAAAAAAAGCCACAGAATGGGCCAACTTGCCCACAATTGCAGCCCAGAATTTTCCTGCCAACAAAGCCTGCCTTTAAACTAATTTCTGACAGTTAAACCCACAAAAAGGAACCCAATTCTACATGTTTAATTGGCAGGAATTTCAAGTTGCTCATCTTAGGTTTCTCCAACTGCTTCAGTGTTTTCTTTTAGGCTGCAAAACTCGTTGAAGAAAGCTCTGTGCAGCTCCATACAAGAGTCATGTCTACAAGTAAGACAGTAAGTGTACAACAAGCTCAACCTGGACTTTGCTTTCTGCAGGGCCATCAGAGCTTACATTTCACCAACAACTGTTCAGGGAATTGCAGATGCTATTGTCAGCTTTTGTAATAGGGAAACATGACAAGTCAAAACACGCCTGGAACTTCTTGCACTGCTAAAGACTTAATAAAAGAAAAAGGGAGATCACACCACTCAAGACTCTTCATGACTGACACAAAGGTACTCTAGCCCAAATTTACCCTCCAGTTGCATCATCTTTAAATCCCAGATTACTGAACCAACTATCTTTTTCCACTTCCTTCATTCAGTTGGTTTAAAAATGGTATCATACAGTGTCCAGAACAGTAAACTACCACTAATGAACCAGTATCCCCACTTCAATGTATTTCCTCTTCACTCACTTTTAATTCACCCTGTTTCTAGTTTTAAGGAAGACCAAGTGACTTCACAGAGATAAACAGTTACATGGCTGTTTTTTACATCCCTCTGATTCCTAACCAGACTACTTTTAAAACCTTCTTGGTGACTGTAAAAGACACTACTCCTGATTGCAACATGCTGAATCTGTGCTAAAGCCCCAACACTTCCCAGATAAAGAAAATAAAACTTCATTTTGTTTCATGTTTACTTCTTTTGTCTCAAAGTATGGCACAATTTCCCTTTGGCTGGAAAGGAATGTTCTGCATTCTTTAGGCAATGAAGAAATCCAGTAACGTTGGCTCCAATGATGCCTTTCACTGCTTCTTAAAACATCAACAATGTCTAGTGGGAGGGACTGGGGAGATCCAGATCTCTAGAGGACAGCATGCATTTTCCAAGTGTCTCAGGATCTTCAAACTAAGCAGCAATTGTAGCAAATTAATGCAAGAAGCTCCTTTTGAGAAAAGAACGTACAAAGAGCAACAGAAATCTGCAGGTTCTGGATATCCTAATCTCACAGAAGAGTAATTACATTCCTTGGCAAAGTTCTTAGAAACTTGTTCTTCATTTGTGGGATAAATTCAGCATAAAAAGGACAGTGATAAGTGTCTGAGCTGCAAAGTCACAAAGCAAGCATGTCCTGGAGGGCCTGGGTTTCCATTCCACCTCATGCAAACTTGCCTCCATCTCCCCAGGCCCAGGTCTGCTCTGCCTTGCAGCAACTGAACGCTTCTCAGCCACAGAACAAATCAATGGCCTATTTTAAAGTTTTAAGTTTAGTGCCAATTTAATTTGATTTAAATTACCTTACGGGGCAAATTGTATGACTAAGTGGCATTACATCATGCAGCAACAGCAGCAATGTAAATATGGATAACCAGAGCATGGAATTTAAAAATAAGAAGTGTCTCTTGCCAGCATGCTTGCTTGTTCTCTGCAGAAAGCTCCACAGAACCACTTCAGGAACTACAAGGCAAGTCACATGAACCTAAAGCTATTTTGTCTTCTTATCAGTAGAGAGAGAGCCTGTGAATGGAATTATGTTACCTCACATCTTCTGGTACTCCAACATACCTACCTGAGCCCCAGAAATCAGAGCTAAACAGGAAGGAAAAGAGGGCAAAAGATCTGGAGAAAAATTTATTACCAATAACCAGCCTTTTTCTCCTTCCAACATTAATTTGCCTTTTCTAAAGGAGAGCTAAAGTGCTAGTCAAGTCTTCATTTATTACCCAGCAACATAAGCCTACCCATCCACACTGTTTCTAAGGCAGAGCAGCCTCCACCCTTCTGCCCTGAAGACTTGAAAGGCATGAAGTTTATTAGCTCATATTTTACATTCCTGTATGAATGAGAAAAAAGAAATCACTTTTGAGAGTCTTAGCTATGCTTTGTCTTTCTCAGAGTACCTATTCTGTGCCAGATATGCTCTTTAAGACCCTCACTCAGGGATGGAGAGAGGGAGGAGTCTGCTGTGCAATGGGAAAATTTCAAAAGCCCCCCAATCAGATGGCAGTTGCACAAAGAGATATCAGAAGTTTCCAGGCTGTGCCTCTACAACAGGAAAGTTATCACTGACCCAGTTTCTTGATGGACCTCTCCTCATCCTGCCCTTTTTGTCACCTTGCAAATGGCAATCTTTTGGCAACAAGTGTCTGAACACTCAGCTATAATAGATGGTTGTGTGCATGCTGGCTTGCCATCAGTCTTCAGAGAAGCCACACCTGCAGCAACCACCTTGCTTCAACAAAGCCAGGCTTTCTTGATTTCAGCTTCCTTCCAACAGGACCTTTTTCAACTGGAATTTTTAATCAAGGTAAATTAAGGCAAGAAAAAATACTGACAAGAAGGACAAATTCATTTTTAGATTAGTCATTTTAACCACTAGATGAAAAAGTAATGCTATGTCCATCAAATTTTAAACCAAATTATTACAGCTTCTAAAAGCCCTCTTGATTTTAAAAGACCCATTTAATAGCTACTCATAAGTATTCTTCCAACATGATTTAATAGGGCCAGACTTGCTTAAGTGTGGGTTTCTAGAAAATACAAACAGATTCAGAACTGCAGGAGACAAAGTTTACATGACTCCTTGAAGCATGCTGGCCCAAAGGGAAACTTTTCCACTTCGACATCTACTGCACAGGCCATCTCTGCAGCCACATGACCAACCGTACCATCCTTGAAACAGGATGCCACAGGCAGCAACAAGGAAAATCAATTTATATTACAAATTTTAAATTAATTCATACCATTTACAGTTTTCATTTTGCATGTTCCAACCTCTGAGTTAATATAAGGAGTAAAGGAAAAAAAACAAGTTCAGATACTTTCCCCTTTTTCTACTGTTTCTCAAGAAATCCAGTGTCAGCTGCTTTCAATTCTAGAACAACAGACCAAGACTACCCAGGTAAAAAGCCTACAAATAACTCAAAAATAATGCAGATTTCAAGAGCTATTTGATTTGCTTGTACTTCAGGCTAGACTGGCAATGATTGCATTAACAGAATTATAACCATGTGTTCAGGTGCCAATTACACATTAATGCATAATTACAGGTTTAAGGAGACATATCCTTACCTAAAATAAGAAACAGGCTTCAGCATTCAGTCTCAGCTAAATAGTTTTCCTTGCATATTTCTTCTCCTTGCCTCTTCTTAAGCTATTATATACAAGCAATAGGCTGGAGAGCAGATATGCACAAAACACTTCTCTGAACAGATCAAATCCCTGTTAAGTGCTTTCAGGACCTAACTGACATTCCCAGCATGGAAGGTGTGCCTCAAATTGAAGTATCAGCATCAAAGTCGGTGTTTTCCTTGGTTTTGAAGTGTCAGGAATTACTGGTTTAGAGAGTTATCACAAAAAAAATCCTGCTTCAGTTATCAGAAGGAACCTCTGCCAGGAAAGGGCCTTCATCCTCACCAGCAGAAGTGAGGATGCATTCTGCACAGTTTTCCTGGAGTACGGAGACAAATTCAAAAGTTGACTCTCAACTACAGCTAGAGGGAAAAAAGGCTGAAAATTAGGGTGTGGAAAAGGCCTAAAGACGTATTTGACTGCTCCTCAGTGTATACCTCAGCGGTCAACCCTCCCCAAACCATTTCAGTGAATGCAAACCAGAGGACACAGGGAAAAGCAATGAATACACAGGAGAAGAGCAATGACCCATCTAATGCCTTGCTCAGGAAAGGCAAGGACCAAAGACAGGAGTGTAAAGAAGAATCAATGCCTGTGAGGTTTCCAAGCACTGCTAAGGTTCAATCCAGCACTGCTCCAGCTGGCCAGAGGGTTTTATGCACTGTTAAAAAACCCCACCTTTCAATGCATACAAAGCCACAACCATGACATTGGCACTCCTGTTTCCTGGAGTACAAATCATACTGACAACCTCCCTAATCTCTAGGGATTTTACTGAGAAATGCTCAGTATGTTACTTCAAGGTAAGAGATTATTCTGAACCAGCCACTCCTTTGGGAAGTTCAGCTATCTTCTACTTCAACTCAGAGCAGAGCACACCCTTTTCTACTGCACAGGGAGCAGAACAGTCACCTTACTACTCCCTACTGAAGGGGAGCTCTAGTGGCACATTCACCCCTGCAGCCTGGAGCTGGTTAGGAACCCAGGTTCTGGGCTATCTTAAGGGACTTGGCTGGGCAGCTGCTGTTACAAAACAAGCTGGTGAAGCACAGGACTCCACTCACCTTTCCTTCCTGAATTACCCTGGCTTGATGGTTTATCAGTTACAGAACCTAAAGGAGAGGGAAAAAAAAGAAGAAAAAAAGACATCAATTTAGATGCTGCATGATCACACGGAGCATATGATGCCACATTAATAAAGTCAATATCCCAACCCATAAAGCATCTATTTTACTTGTCAACAGCTCCATTTAAGACTCAGAGAGCCTGCGGCTTCAACCAATGTGAGAAGTATAAGGAAGTTTTATGCATTAAGACATTAAATTGGGATAAAGGTAAACAAGAAATCTTTAGTAGCTGGATCTAGTGATTTGAAAGACCTCAACAGAGCATCATGCTAGTAAGAAACCTGGAATAAATCCAAGGGCAAGAAGGAAAGATCATTAAGAGTCACTTCTTTCATTTGCAAATGTCAGGAAGAACAAATCAAAAGCAGATGGGGAGAGTGTGCAGGGAATGCAAACGCAGTATTCTAGAGGAAGGGGATTAAGTGGGACAGTTTGCGGGAAATGGATTTCAACCAACCCCTGAACATCCCCAGCTGTTTGAAATGGGACACTGAATAAGATCCAGCATGTACTGGAACAGAACACATCTTGGGTTATTTACTATAACTTAGAGCTTCACACAGCATGTATGATTCTACAACTGCTTCTGCACTCTGCTTTAGGGCTTCATCACTGTTTTCTACTAAAACTTGAACAGGTAATAAAAGCTTTTCAAATAAATCCATTACCAAAGTGTATAAAAATCTATAACAAGCTTTTGTTGTTGTTTTGTTGGGGTTTTTTTTAATAGCATCATTCACAGGGAACTGATTCTTCTATGCACCATTACTAAGCAGTTCCAGTCATTACAGAACATTCAGGAAACATGGATCAAAAGTCAGCTTCAAAGAAGGTAGCTCTGACAGGCCCAACAATCTGATCAAGACAAACTCTGAAGGTAAACTATTGCCTGGACACTTTCACTTGCAGATCAGTTCATCACAGATCTACTGCTGAATTACAAGTAGTAAGCACAAACTCAATGTTAGTAGTCATCATATGGCTAACATCTGTGTCCTCCAGTACAGCATGGCTTAACTTTTCTGCAACATGATTTTATAAACAGCACAACACTACCTGAATAGATCAATAAGAGTCTAAAACATACCCTACCCAACAACAGACTCAGTATGAGTCTAAAACATGCCAAATGATATAATGGAAAGGGTGTCAAAGTCATATTCTAAAGGTTTAAGCCAAATTACTGTAAGATTGCACCTTATACTAAAATAGGATATTAATATCTTTTTCTTTCCACACGGCTGTGAAAAACTAAGCATCTTCTCAAGGTACATTGGCTCACTGGTTCTCAGACAGCTCTCCCACTCAACTCAAACCCTTATGCAAGTCACTTATGTTTGTTTATCAGCACAGAACACCCTACAGGCCAAGAGGACACCAGATAATGTGAGAAAAATTCAAAATCCCAACAGTCTGATTGCCGTCATGCTCCCACCTACAGGGCAAACACTGCAAGGTGTGAGAGGAGAACTATACTAAAAAGCCCTGAGGTGCAGATTGTAGAGCATGAAGCCTGAGCAGCATAAGCAACATAAGCAGCAGTGCTTATTTGGCATCACTGAACATGTTAGAAACACATGCCTATGCTTACTGCCTTTTCCTCCTTAATTTTTTTTGAGGGGGAGAGAGGAAAGTGAGAAGGGCAGTACAATTCTAGTGTTGTCCTTCAATTCTCCCCAAAGTACAGAAGAGCTTCTCAACCCTTCCTGTGTTTACTGTGGTGTTGTCACAGCAGCACTGTTCACCACAGCTCACGAAGCTAGACCACTACTGATCAGGGCCATATGAAAATCTAGAGTCCCATCTCATTCCCCTTGAGCCATGGACTACCATATTGAATGCTGTGGAGAAGAAAGGAAAACAACATTACTCCATTTTAAAGAAACTTGTGGATGTGGTCTGCTGATGATAAACTGCTGGGTGAAAAAGTCATGTCAAGCTGAGTGACCAGGAACACATCACTTAATAAATAAACATGAGTAACAGCCTGGGTCTGGACATCCCTCCTGTGAGCTGTGGTGCAAGCCCAGTGCTGCCCACCCCAAGACACAAACACAGGGAACCTAAATTAAGCAATGTGGTCAAAAGACCCACATTCATTACAACTCAAGGACCCCAGAAACTGACAGTTTTGCAGAAAACCACCTTCATGAACTAATTGAAATCACTCTATACAAACAATTACTCCATGTCCTGCAAAATACAGCCCAAGAATCATTTCTTTAGAATATGGCCCATAGAAACAAGTTATCCCATCTTTTCAGCCAATCTTTGGTGTAGGTGTACACAGCAACACTGACTCTTGCCTTGGCTGCCACAGGTTGTCACCTTGGTGTTTTTCCTTTCACTTGCAGTAGTGTCTGTATCCTAATTGCAGGGTGGATGTGCCAAAGTCCAAATGGCAGTGCTAAGTGGGGTAAACTGGCCAAGTCACCTGAAAAGATTAGGCTCTCTCAAAAGGATGGTTATGAAGTTAGTAATTGCTGAAGCCACTCCCACAGTACCTGAACATACAGGAGTTTTGTTCTGTACAGAAGAGCCGCTAATAGGCTTGCCATCAGGTGTCACACACCAGCAGTATCCAGTGTAGGTATGGCACTGCACCTGTTTAATAAAACAAAGAGCAGGCATTTCATTTCTCACTCTATCACCAACCACTTTATTATAATTCAGCATCTTATTGGAAGTCCCAACCCAGAGGTATCAAACACATGCTTCAGAGAGAGGAGGTATTACAGAAGACTACCTTTGATACCATTTTCTTTTCTTCCCTCACCTCCCCCCCATCCCAGGAAAGGTGATTTCTCCTATTCCAACCCCTGTAGCTGAAATTCGGGAGGCAAAAGAAATTACAAGTAATCATCTGAGAACACTTTAGCTGGGGAATGCAGAAGTTGTGTCTCCCCTCATTCCACCCTCTGCTACATCCCACTTAGTCTTTACTATTAAAAACTTGTCCTGCTGCATCCTAGCTGGGTTATGGAAAGGCCACCCTGTCCCAAATTCTACAGCTTTTGCTTGAGAGCAGCATCTGTAGACATTTCAAAAGCATTCTGCTCAGTACCATGGCTGGAAAAACGCAACACTGACTTGGTTAACAAACCTTCTCCAGATAGATTTAAGCCCTATTCTGTTCTGTAAGCCCTATGTCAAACTACACAGCAGGAGCAGGATCCAACATGCTTACTCCTCACATATTAACATGGACTTAAGAACACTTTATGAAGGTTCTAGTGAGTCAAAATGTACACAGTATAAAATTCATCTTGATTGATTTTAAATCTCTACTTCTGAACTGAACATCTAGAGCTGCCCAGTTCCTTTCTTCATCACAGAAAGACACCAAAAGTGCTAATTCAGGTACAGAACTTCTCAAGTAAGAATAGATAAATCCTGATCTACTTATCAGGAGACTGATAAGTAACATCTGATCAGATGATGTTACTGATCCTAGTAACATCTATGGAGATACTAATTCAGCCACACTAAAATTTCATTCAGCCTAACAAATCTAATGACAGCCTTTGCCTCAGCTTTCAAAGTAGCCAGCAATGGGATGAAAAGATGTCAAAGACAACCTGAATTGAGATAAAAGTAAATTATCATTGTACAGGCATCTTATGTAAATACAAACAGGTCCCAAAATGCTTTCTAACAAGTATACTTTCAGCTGTATTTAAATGTGCACATCAGCACCTTGAAATGGTATAGAAGTCCTGTTACTATAAACTAGAGATGGTTCCTTCCATACATTTCTGAAAACAAGCCATGAAATTAGACCACTTCAGAAACTGCCTTATTGTTTTACTTGTAAAATGAATTGTGTCCATTCTCTCTTTTTCCAAACAAATTCATTGAAACAAATTTCTAATTCCAGTCCTCTTCACACAGAAGAGTGATAGTGTGTTTGTGTTGGTCCCCTCATTAGGGATCCTTCAGAGCAAAACCAGTCATTCCCCTCACTGACAGCTGGCTTCAATGCCCTAAGGTAGCAAAGTTTGTTCAGAGACTTAATGACAGTTTCTTTAAAAGGCTTTGAATATCACATAAAACATGATCTAAGAGCAATTATAACACGGTACGTCGTGTTTATCTTGGGTTTTACTTGTTTATCTTGGGTTTTACTAAAGTGCAAATCAATCATTTTGCCTCAAGCATTTGCTTTTAGTAGCCAAAATCAACAGTAATCTCATGTACCCATGTTATTGCAGTCACTGTCACTGCTATTTGCAGTTTCATTTTTCTTCTCTCAATATATCACAATATTGATTGCAAATTACTCAAAAGTACTATGACTATAATAAGCAATAATCAAGTTAGGAAGTATTTGTTATTGCTCAGTGTAATCAATTGAACACTCAAAACAAATGTGATGGAAATGCTCAGGTTTGTGTTTATCTTTGCTGATCACACACACACAAGACTGCATTCCCAGCAGCACAAGAAGCCATCTTCACATCTGATTATTAATTGTAAAAATCCTACCAAGGGATAGAGCTAAATGCCAGGATAGGGTCTCAAATTTGTAGGGCAAGACCATTCCATGTTTCATTTTATAAAAAAATCCAGTGTACCCAGCATTTAAAAAAACTCATGTATTAGTCACTTGACAGTCCCTTAGCCAAGTCTTCAGAAAATAACAAAGTACATGGCAAAGGAGTCCAAAAAAAATATATTGACACAAATTCAGGATAGATGTAGCAACTAAGACTATGTTATATAACTCACCTCAGTGGAGAATTACAAATTACATCCACTCATTTATGCAAGCCAAGCACATTACATCCATAAAAAAGTGAAGTAATTTTGTAAATAACTAGACTAAGAAATGCTAGTCTTCCTTGGACTAGTATCCCATGACCTTTTGTTCCCCCATGCTGCCATTAAAAAAAGGAAGAAATTGCCATTAAAAAAAGGAAGAAAAAAAAAATCAGAGACTGACAGCACTCAGCACTTTCACAACCACAAGTTTTACTGCAGTACCAGAGGACCTCCCTTCTACAGGTAACAACTGCAAATAAATCTCAGCCATTATCCTAAAGTCCAGAGAGCCACCCATGAAGAATGGGCAGTTCAGAACTCTCAAGAATCAGTGCAGTTGTTTTTCCTGAATGTCTTCACACTGAGACACACTACCTTTCATCATGATACCTGAGCAGGTCTCAGTACAATTTCAAGTCATAACAGTGGCCTACAGTCTAGAATTTGCAGCTTAAAGGCTGGAAGGGAAGGTACCCCCTCCATCACTTACATAAGACTGGTATGACACTGATAAAAGTGTCAAGGCAATAGCTGATCTAGTACCTTTTCTAAGCACTGTGTGTAAACAAACAAAATGTCAACTGTTTCAGAGCACCTACGATAAAGAATATCCAAAAAGTGGGGGTTTACTTAAAAATTTTCCATTTATCTTATGTTTGAACTTTTATTTCTAAATAAAGTTTCAGTCATCAACCCAAAATTCAACCTCATTCTCATCCTATTCTCAAAGTAGAGAGATCTTTAAACACTTATTAGAAGAGTAAGTATGCAAGCATGACAGATGTTTACTGCACAGATCCAATCTTCAGTTATTGAGTTTTGACTCTATCAAAATACATGTTAGAAAATGTGCGTTTGACTTTTTTGGCTCTCAGTCTTCTAAACACTAATACAGTCTTATATACTAAAATATAACCTTAGATATTTAATAAACTTGATTGTTAACCAAGCTGCAGCTACAGAACATTTGTTACTGCTGGAAAGGCACATGACAGAATTTGGTATCTCAGATTAACATACACCTGTCCAACAGCCTGAACATTGTAAGTTACATAATAGGAAATCAGACAAATAAAACCTGCAAATCATTTGAGATCTTCAACAGATTCCTCATTAACATCTACATTAAAAAAAAAAAAAATCCAGCTGCATTTTAAAGCACTGCAAGCAGCCAAATCCCTGATCACGCAGAAGTACACTGCTCCTTCTCATGGAGAGATAGAACATCTTACCTGGGTCTCAACTGAAGGACAAAAAACATGATGGACAAACCCAAGAAAAATTGCTCCATATCACCAAGCAACTTTTCAATATTTTCCAAAATTCAAATCCTGGTTACATCCAGGTGCTCCCTGTAAATACTGTAAAAACAGCTAAATAAATAGCTCCAAGTCAGCAGGTCATCTAGTCTGACCCAGTGAGAAGCTTCCAGTGTGACACACAAATTCTTTAATCAAGCCTTTCCTTTGTCCAAGCCATTCAGGCTTGGCTAGAAAGTCCTCTGAACACAAGTTTAGTGGTACACAACCAGCACACTGATGGCCTGATGGCTATTTATCTTAATTCTACATGGTGATGCCTCTGTTCTGGTCCACATGGCTCGCTGTAATGCTTAGACCCTGCATCCTGTCATACTTTTTGCTACATTGAGACAGTTGATTATTGTCAGAAGCATGTCTTACCTTTATAGACAATTTTAGGGGAGCTATGAATCAGTCTGCATCTTGTGTTTAAGCCTCTTTGGGACTGCAGCCCCTTAGTTTTTGCCACTTTTTCTGTTCTGCAGATATTTAATTCTTCACAAATGATTCCCACCAGGGCTTTATGCAGCATCCACATCCCTCAAGAAACCACTTGAGGTTATGCACCACTCAAGAAACGCTTGCTCCAAAGGAATTTCGCTATTCATATAACCAGGGAAAGAAATTATCTGAAGCAAAAGAATCTTATTCAAGATCAAGGGCATTCCCATCACACATGCTGACATATATATAATTTTTAGTTCAGGAAAAGGGTCCCCAAGAGAGGCTTTCTACTTCTGACACAGAATGTTCCACTTTGAAGCTAAGAATGACCTTACATTGTCACTTTCCTTAAGTATGTCCACTCCCACTTTAAGAACTTGCTCCTTTGATATCTCAACTGGTACTTCTTTGAAGAAACACCATAAATAACCGAAGTTCTTACCTCCTTACCCACTCATGGTTTATCTTTAGCACAATATACAAATGAGAAACACAATGAAAGCCACAGGAAAAAATCTTTTAAGTAGCAAACCTGCAAAGCAGTACTCACAGAAAGCTACAGCTACCATCTTTTTTATTGAAGGGATGTCTTCTAATAAAAAAAAAAGCAGAACTACCTACCATTTAAAAATCAGATGCTTTATGAAGAGTTTATTCAGTCTAGCAAGATAAACTGTGTTCTTTTGAAAGGAGAGGTGAATTCATTGAGAGCTTAGTATTGTTGGAATCTGAGCACTGAATAATGGAACAGGCAGCATCCAGGGAATGAAGGACACGTTTACACATTGCCTCTGCTGCACTGAGTTTGTAATTCTGCGCAGCATCATGCTACACTAGCCAATACAAAGAAGCAGACTTAGAAGTCATACTGAAGGCTGAAAGGGTTCCCTACATCTTAAGAAAGAGCTGTTTGTGGAACTTGGGAGAAAACAGAATTTGATATGTGCACTAGCATAGTGTGGAGTGAAACTACTGGTATGGACCATAATATATATCACTCTTTTCAAGCAGACTTGTATGATGAGATGTGGGAGTGATCTGGAAGCTATCTGATAACACAGAACTGCTGATAGTCAATCCCTCACTTATCCTGTCATAAGACCACAAGCAAGACTGATGCACTCACTTTAAGAAAAAACTCCGTGCTGTGTCATAACTGCACCAGGAACCAGATTTTAAGAAGCCTAAACTCAAAGAAATTCTCCAAGGAGATTTGCCCTCAGACACTTGTATGCAGACTTGTGAGGAAAAGAAACCACAACTAGACAGTGGAAGGTGGCAGCAAATAGCAAGACATACCACAGAGTTCCACAAAACTACACCCCCAAGGCAGGATTAACATTATTCATGTTCATATTAATCTGTCTGAAACAGATCCCTTTTAAAATCTCAGCAACCTTTTCTGAAAAACTGCTTGGGGGAAAACTAGGAAGAATGCAAGTCTCCCTCAGCCCATGGCAACAAGCCCAATGGCACTAGGCAGCAAAAGAAAGTGTGCAGATTACCCACTAGTCCCTGTTGTTTATGAAGAACAGATCACAGCAGGTTAAGTGCAGCATGGAAAAGGAATGGCATTTATGGAAAATACAGCATAACAGCAAAAAGGCAAAAGTCTTGGGAACAGAAATTGGTTTTAGTCATGTTCAATTCTGCACAACAGTACGTGACCTCAGTTTTCTACAATTAATCAAATTACTTGTATCTAACAAACATTCTTATGTTGTGAATAACTCAAATTTTATCTGCCTGCTGATATTACTGTGGGCTAAGTGTAGAGAGATTTTGTTAGAGGAAGTAATATTCCCCACCCAGACTGAAATATAAAGACATAGCAATTCCAGAGGAATTAATCAGGTCTGCTTCCCCATTTACAGTCATCCTATCATGTCTGCAGTGACACCAGTTCTTCATGTTGCAAATCCATGTCTCATTTTTAGATGCATAAGTAGCACTAAAAGGGGATTTGGTAAGATCTTTGCAATTCACATACTCAGCAATAAGGGAAGCAGGACACATTGCATAGAAACAGTTATGACAACCAGTGAAGAGACAAGCACCAACTCCTCTTGATGCAGTACACAAACCTAAAAAAAAAAAATGGTATATGACCATTATACCTAGTCATGCATAAAAAGCTGGAAAACTGATCAGCTGAGCAACAGAATCAGTGGCAACACTGCCTTCAGTCTAAATTTCACAGGCAGTGAAAACCAGACAGATCATACAAGTGCTTTAAGACATGCATGATGTCTCTCTGTGAAAGGGTTTAAACGCAAGCCAAACGAAGGCCTTTGCCTCTAGGCCATTCTCCCTTTCAGCCTTGTTGGCACATCTAAGTGTGACAGATCCAGCCCTGCAGGGAAGCAGGAGGAGGTAAGGTGAGAGTGGTCTTCCTCCTGCAGGCGCTGTCCGTGTGGTGCGTGCTCCTGCTCACAGAGCGGCAGAGAAGCTGGGCTCTCATCACCACCCCACAGCCCCACCCAATCTGCCCTGGATCCACCCCAAATTCACTACTGAACTGGGTACGACTCCAGGAGCTGCAAAGGGCAAACTTGAGCTGCTTGTCAGAGCCCCACTTCCAGTGCTTACCCAGAGTGACTGCAATTTAGTTTCTAATCAAGATAATTATGATGAACCACAAAAGCAACAGTTCAAGCTAGTTAAGGCCAAGCAGGTTCTCTGAACACAGTTACTATTACCAAATTCTCCCACATCTGTACTGCTCTTGGTTTTCAGTCCTACAAAAATTTCAAGAATTTCCAACAATAAATTAATTTAATTAAAAATCAGACTCTTTTGAAGTGTGATGGCAAGGACAACAACGTGGGCTTGAACACCTACTGTGTTCAGTAGGCTCAGCAAGATGACCTGAAAGAAAGTCATCTACTTCTTGAATGAGCACTGTAACAATTTAAACATTTGATATTCTAAATATATGCATGCATCTTTGTTTCCTCTCTGATCAGAATTTTTCTTCAACATAAAACTCCCTTTTCAATAACAGTTACACAGAAAGGGTGAAGTTGTTGAAAACATCTCCCTAGCCAACTCTACATACAGAGTATATACCCTGAAACACATGCATCTGCTTAGTCCCTTGTTGGGATGGAGCTTCCATGTTGAAGAACAGAGTGGGCATTTCTCCTAGAAACTTCATTGAGAGATGCTGTTCTGTTGTAGATCTCCCAACTGAGATTTTGGAGTCTAGATGGAGCAACACTGTGGATATTGGACCAGAACAAACTAACAACAGTCCAGAGCTGAAGCTTCAGCAGGGCCTCAGGGACTTCACAAGAACACAGCCTCCCCGTAGAGCAGAACCCAGGAGCATCAATACTCTGCACAAGAGATGCAGTATCAAAAATACCTCCAACAGATGAGATCTATTCACAAGTTGCTGGAAGAAAAACTGTTTAGACTGCTCACCAAAATTCTAGTTTTTATACATCTTTTTTTAAATCAAAATTTAATTCATTTTGATCAGAAGCTAAAGGAGATATTTGTCCCAAATGCAGGTTGAAACTAATTAGCTTTCTTGGACATTCTTTTTCACTTAAATCTTATGCAGGGACAATTACCTTAAATGTCGCAATCTAACTGATGAAGCTGGTCCATGAGGTATGTGGAACACAGGGTATTTTTATAAACCAAGGAATTCTGTGACTTTCAGTTAATTCCAGATACAGAGATCAGAGGCTTCTTCCATCATGCCAGGTAAAACAAAAGCACTTTAGTGTTCACAGATAGAACGGAATGGAGGAAGAATGTGAAATACCACTTGGCTGCCAACTGACACCACACAATTTTTGTAAGCAGTTTCACGCTGCCCCTCAACTGGCAACCAGCACTAGCTAAGGAATGTGCCAAGGAAAAGTCCAGCAACTTTTCCACAATCCAGACACTAGTACCAACCTTCAAAATAAACTTGTCTGAAACAAAGCTTTATCAACTATACTATCAGTCCTGCTTATAAGGATAAAAATTTCACCTACTTTCCCTCTCCAAGAGGTTGATAGACAGGTGATAGAAAACTCTGGAATGTCTTTCATTATCTCTTTTTTCTTGAAGTATGAAATTTAACATGGAACACTTTGTTCCATGTTGGCCCACTGTACTAGCTTTCATAAGCATTAGCCTTCAGTGCCAACACAATCTGAGAAGCTCCACTCAAAATCAAATTTCAACAATTGAAAGTGCAGTTAAACTGCAAGAAACTGCAGTCATCTTCTCTTATCCCATGATGGTCCACACAGTGGAGCAGCATTATATTTCTGCAAAGAAGCATGCAGAGTTTGCAGGATGAATACAACTTTTTTCACTTCATCATCAAAAACAAAAGCAAAATAAATACACTCCCACATACCAGATAATGGGAGGGTAAGGCTGAGGAGGGGAATAAAATTTTTGGTGGGTTATCACAAAAAAAAATCTTTCCTCTCCTATGCCCCCAGGCATCACAAAATGTTTGAACCAAACCCAAATTTCTCTGCCTTTCTCATCTTTTTTAAGCCAATATTGATTCTGTTCTGGAATTTCTTTTACCTTCAGAAGACCTTACAGACAACTAATGTATCCTAAAATTTCTCTGAGAAAGAAGGTATCTAGAGCAGTATCAGATGTATGGAAGGTTAGACAAAAAACATTCTGTGATTTACCTAAATCCACAAAGTAGAGGTCACATGGCTGCAGGTTTTTGGCTTTTTAGATGCAAAACTGAGCAGACACTGTCAGGAAACTGTGCATGAGCCATTTTTAACAGCCAGTTCAGTCAGCACTAGGACACGACTCAATGTGCTAATCGTAACAGAACCAGGTATCACTTTTCATTTCTACCCTGCTTTGGCAAACTTCAGCAACTTAACAGTGAAGAATCAGAAACCCAAACTAAGCAGTCTCATCTCCTCTCTGCCAGTCCTCCAAATCCCTACAGGACATACAGTACAAGAAGTGCCCTGCAGAAGGAACATGCTGAATAAACTGCTTTTTTTCCTGGGATAGATGAAGCAGAGGTAATAGCAGAATCAGCTGCATCCACCCTACTCTGTGTAAGCCACATCTCTCTTTGCAGCTACTCTTCATGGAAAAATTGACCTTCCCTGCAACTGTTTTTCTTTCTGTGCAACACTGAAGATTAATGCTATTTGTTTCTGTACCACACTGGAGCTGGATACTGTTGCATGTGTGTATGTCTTTTAAGGTATTATGACTGAATCACAACCTCCATTTGATTAAATAAGTTCCCAGCTTTGAATTTTACCCGAGGAACTGAGTCAGAATGTGCATGCACTCTGCTGTCATCACTTGACTCGTGCCTTAACCCTGAATCTCCCACAGACACCTGCAGCCTGGCTGAATGAAGCAAATTGACATTTTACCTGCATGAATGATCCATCCTCATTGCATTCTGGGATAAAGACTGCTTCCTGAGGCTTCTTTGCCTGTTCCAGCGCTTGAGCTCTCTCTAATCGACACTTGCTTTGGCCAGCATCTATGAAGAGAAAAGCAAAGCTCACTTACATTGCAATTGGCCCCTCCAAAAGCTACCAGATGACCCATGCAGCTATGAGGGAAAAACCCCCAAAACAAATAAATATAAAGCATAAAAGACTATTTATTACCTGCACATTTACAAGGTAGATATGGAGTTATCACTCATCATCCTAAAGACAAAAATGAACCTAGACAATCAAACTACAAGCCAGTTAATTAAGAGCTGCCTAATTTCCTAGTCAATAGTTTTTATGGTCATCTAAGGATCCTGGAAGTTTCTTTCAACCAGCACTGGAGCACAATGTCCACACAATGAAAGGTCATTAACATTAATAGCCTGAAACTGGATGGCTGAGTATAAACCAAATAATTCAGGCAGAGCAGTGAACACGTGGAAAAGAAGTGATGACCCCCTCTTCTCTGAGCAACTCTCCCAGGAAGATACTAAAATAGCCAGTCATCCATAGGAACTTCCACCTTTGTGTGGTTCAGATGAGGCAGATGTGCCATTTCCTGTGCTTTCCTGAGACTCAGCTTTTACCTCTAGTCCCAGTGCTTACAGCCAGGTGTGCATTACAACTCTCATCAGTTACTCACTTTGGAGACAAAAAAAAAAACTTGCTCTGCAAGCAGCGTTTGAAAGGGTTAAGATCTCTGTTCTTACATCAGATGACGGCAAAGTATAGCACGACCCCTTCCAGGCTGAGCTCACTGTTACAGAGTACACCCAGATAAGTCCAACCCTAATGATTGATGAGTCAAAAGAGGAAAGTTCTGCCCTGCAGAGATCCAGATTGACTTGGTGTTGACATTTAAAAACATCAGGTCTAACAATCCTGCTGTTCAGTCTAGAAAGAGAAGGAAAACAGTGAACATCTGTTTCCATGGCACTCTGACACCAGAACTAGCACCTACTTTCTTCTCCCTTGAATCCACTGATTAAAGATTTTCAGCACAGAAATTTCAAAATCTTTTAGCAGCACCATACAGAGTGAACAAGTTTCAATCCCCATTGTATCAGGCATGGAAATCATATCAGTTAAATTCCCCTGGATCCCTGAAGTTCGCATTCTGTTTTCATAGATCACATGAACTTTGACAAGAGAATCACAAATACCAGCATTAAATTAGAAAGTCAGTCTGGGTTCTTCGAGCAATTGAATTCACATTGTATGGCAGTAGAAGTAACTTCCATTTAGGCATCTCTAGACACAGAAATCAATGACAATGCTGTAAATAGTTTTGATAAAGACAGACCAAAGCTTTCAGGCCGAGTACTTTATTTATACAACTGATTACTCCAGAGATTAAGTTTCCAGTTTGCCAACACAGTTTCATTTTAAACATATCACATTACTTCCCAAGAAGGATTTCACAAGGCTTCTGAAATTATGAAAATCAAGGCATTCTCTCTGGAAAAAGAATGATTCATAGTAATAGTACACAGTACAGATGCCAGTTGCTTAGGCACTGGGTTAGAAAGCAACAGTGCCTGTATAAATTCTGTCAAAGACCACTGAGTGACCACAAGTTGGTCACCTCACCCCCCTGTGTCCTCATGTCACTTCTGATCCTGTCACCAATTTAGTTTTTTGGGTGTTTGCACAATACCAAAGCACATGGAGCTTTGATCTCAGGTGGGCCCACCATGCACCTGTATAAAGTGTGAAATTGTTACAAAATAAGAAAGACTTGAATAAAATTTACACTGTATCTTTTTTTTCCAGTAATCCCATAAGCTTTGACCTATTCCTTTTTGCCTGCTTGTCAATGTGACCAGATGATCAGACATTGTTTGCACATCTCCAGTGGAGGATAGTCCTGCCAGCTGATCCTTCCAAACACGTGCTCGCTCTTTCAGCTGAAAAGGAAGCTCTGGCAATGCTTTTAACTGGAACACCTATCACCTGCAGAACTTCTGTTCAAGCTTAAGAATCTAATCTTGCTTGGCATGACAGAGGACATTACTACAAAACCAGATGGTGTGCCTGCACTTTGTTTCATAGCTGCTTGACTGAAAATACTTTCAACTTCTGCTTCACAGGAGACAACTAAGTAGCAAAAAAAAAAAAAAAAAACAAAACAAAAAAAAACCACAAAAACTCAGAATAGATTATGGAGATGTGAACTTGCGAGGGAAAAAACAGGTGTGAATTTCTTATGTGACAATCAAACCACAAGTTCCCAAATGAAAGTGTTTTCTAGTCTCTAAATATCAGGATACAGGACTGCAGGCAGGCATTTCTGGTTCCTGTCCTGAACATAAAACAAAAGCATAAAGCACTTCTACATAGCATCTGCATTATAGTGCTGGCACACTCACAACTACATGACTGAAACTGGATGCTTCAGCACAGAGCTGGTAGAAATAAACACTTTGTGGTATCCCCTGCAATATAAATACATTAGAAACCCAGGCAGAAGGGAAACTAACCCAGATCTTTGTCCAGTTTGTCTAATGAACAAAGAAACATGCACAAGATCAAGCCCTTACTTTAAGAAGATAATATAAACACATTACTGCAATGGCTACCATGTCCCTCCCAGCAATTTTAACTGGCCTTTATATATTGAACTCTTGACTCCCATCCAGCAGAGCACACTTCATAGTACACCACCACGGTGCTTAGTTGTTTCAGCATCTTTTGCACTTCAATTGTTGGCTCGAGTGGTGACTCTTCACAAATTGCTGCTGAAGTACAGAGAAGACAGTTTTTTCTCCTGTTCATGAACACTCAGGACTGATTATTTCTCCCATCCTCCCTCATTGATTTCCAAAGGTCATGCCAGTCCTTTTACAGCCTTGATTTGGAACAAACACCTATACACCACGCTGGGTGGAGAGGCGCATGCATGTTGCTATCTTTTTTGTCAGTCTTCCACAGATCAGTTCCAGTAAAAACAGTGCCTTTAAGATCAACATTTACCAGTTTGTTTTTAAAAGGACTGTCAATCCTTCTCTTCCTCACTCCACAGGCTGGTATTTTTATAATGTTTGCATCAACATGTGATTTCAGTGGGATGACTTCACCTTGCTATTTTTGCTTTGTTAATTAGAAAATGTAAAGTATTACATAAGTGCCAAGTGTTTAAAAAGTAGCTGTCAAATAGCTCACCCCAAATAAGATGCATTACAAATTTTACTAAAGCCTGATCTTATGACTGTAGGTTCATATACCCTATTCTGCATTTTGACTGCTTACCCAAGTGTTTCAGCACTTTCTTCCCTGTTTTTAAAAATGTTCTCTGGAATATCAAACACCATGTTTATAAACCAGAATGGCATTAATGCATTCCAGTTTCACGGTTCAAGCAGACTAAATTGGACACTTTTCCCTCCATTACATTAGGTGAAAAACCAAAACAGCATAACTTCTTTTGAAAGCAGACCTGCTTAATTTTACTTTAAATATCTTCAAACTTGGGACAGATTTACTGTAGCTCAGAAAGCTGCCTTTTAAAGAAAATTAATTCTCAAGCTGGCAGCTGGCAACCAGGAGATTGTTAACTACAAGTGATGTTTTTGACATCCCTGGCCTAATCGGCACAATGCAGGTGCACATAATTTTGGATTTTGCAATGAAATTGGCTAGTTACCATGGCTGATCTTATCCATGAATAGTTTATTCAAACAAGACCACCGTGTCCTTCATAATATATACACTCCACTCCTGAATAGGCTCCAAGAATTCCAGCATCCTCTCTTCAACAGGCAGAGGCAGTATTGACACCACACAACATCACGGTATAAAGACCCAAGCTCTCCTAATAACAAAGCAGAACATCTCCAAGATTCACATAACACTACCAGCAAATCAATACAATCCAACCACTAAAATCTATTAAAGCTACTTAATTTTAGTTCTCTTATGCTTGTATCCAAAGTTTAAATAGAAAAAATTGATCCAAGCAACTTTTTAACTGTTTTCAGTTGCATTAGGTAACTGTCTCACATACAGGCCAGGTCTTCACCAGACATGAAGTAGTTCAGCTGCACTAAAGTCAGCAGGTTCATACCCATTTACTCAATTATATGTGTATTTGCATGAAGCAGGCAAAAAATGGATCTCTGCAAACTACAAAAACATGTCTATCTATTGTACAGGATATCAATCACTATTCACTCACCTCACTGTTTTCCACTTCATTTGGGTCAAGTCCTGCACCTGGAATCTCAAACTTCTTTCAAATGGTTCAGGGTTGTAGGGACCACTGGAGGTCATCTTGTCCAAACTTCCTGCTAACACCACATCCCTTGGAGCACACTCCTCAGGACATAGTACAGACAGCTACAGATATTCCCAGGCAAAGTGACTCTACAACCTCTTTGGGCAGCTGTTCCAGTGTTCATTTATCTTCACAGTAAAAATGCTCTTATGTTCAGGTGGAACTACCTGTGCTCCAGTTTCTGCCCATTGACTTTTGTCCTGTTGCTTGGCACTGCCAAAACACCTGGATCCATCCTGTGACACCCTCCTTGCAAGATACTTTAAAAAGTTGATGAGGTCCCCTCTCAGTCATATCTTCTCCAGGATAAACAGGCCCAGATCCCTCAGTATTTCCTTACAAATGAGGTGCTTCAGTCCCTTCATTATCTTTGCTACCCTCTGCTGGATCCTCTCCAGAATCTCCCTGTCTCTCTGTACTGGACACAGCACTCCAGCTGTGCCTCACAGGGCTGAGCAGAAGGGCAGGATCCCCTCCCTTGACCTGCTGCCAATGCTCTTCCTTGCACCCCAGGACACCATTGTCATTCCTGGCCACCAGGGCACTGCTGGCTCAGGGACAGTTTGGTGTCCACCAGCACCCCCAGGGCCTTCCCCACAGAGCTGCTTCCCAGCAGGTCTGTCCCCAGCCTGTGCTGGTGCAGGAGATTATTCCTTCCCAGTTGCAGGGCCTCATACTCTGCTGAATTTCAAAAAGGCTCCACTCTCCTCATCCCTCCAACCCTCAGATCTTTCTGGAGAGTTCCACAGCCTTCCCAGCTTTGAATCATCAACAAACTTGCTGAAGAGACATCTGTCCCTTCATCCAAGTCACTGATGAACAAGTTAAATGACAATGGACCCAGTACTGAACCTTGGGGGACACCACTAGTGATAGGACTCCAACTACATCTGTGCCACTGATCCCAATCCCCCGAGACCTGGCATTTACACATCTCTCAAACCACCTCACTGTCCACATGTCCAGTCTGCACCCCCTGAGCTTTCCTGTGAGGATATCATGGGAGTGTCAAAAGCCTTCCTTTGACAAGGGAAAGAAGTCCAGGTGGACAACATCCACTACTCTTCCCTCATTGCTCCAGCCATTTGTCCCACCATAGAAGGCCATCTGGTTGGTTAAGCATAAATTGCCCATCCATGCTGACTACTCCTGATCACCTTCTTGTCTTCCTTTCACATCAATGCACTTTGTTCCTTTCTTGATATCCACATTGCATTTCTACTCCAGAGTTCCCTAATTTATTCAGAACATGCCTGGATTTGCAAAGTGATTGAAAGTGACATTTTAGATTTTACTAACTGCTGCCAAGGAAGAACATTCTTATTCACAGTCAAGGAAGAATAAAGCAAGGTTGAAGACAAAACACATGGATCTAAGTGAGCAGACAAAATGGTTTCAAAACACCATCTCCTGTCCAACAAAAATAATAGGTAGAGAAGTTTCTCTTCAAATGACCCATCAGTCAGAAGACCAGCCTTTCTAGCACATAAGCCAAAAGCTGTGTTCAGTTCCTGTGTCCCAGGAGAAAGGCTGAAGGTCCTGTTACAATCTTTACCAGTAACTTACAGATAGGTTCACTCTACACAGTGAGTTGTGATCTAAGAGCAAACTCTGTACCAGCAGACTTATTAATATAACTAATAAATCTAAAGAGAACTTTTAGAACACTCCCACATTGTAATTAAATTAAAGCTCCTAGAAATCAAGCAGTTAACACAGAACTTAAATGTATTCTAAGCCACAGATATATACCAATAAAACAATCGCTGCAGAAATGATTCTTGGCGAGCTGTCAACATCAACAAGCATTTGTCCTTCGCCCTTGCAAAGTTTTGAGGTATAACTCTTATTTAACACCAGATATTATGACGCCTCCTGAGAAAAAAATCCACGTAGCATTGCTTGGCTGTGTATTTTAGATGCAGCTATACCATCTGGAACTATTCTTTAGAATCTCATCAGCAAGGCTCCATTTATCAGGGATGCCATAATTTGATCACTTTTAGCTACTCCTGACTTTTAACCCTTTGTGATATGTGAGGGTTTGAAGGGAGTTCAGACAATTTAGCACTGAAGGAATTTCATTGAAAAGCACATGAGGAAGCTAGCAACAAACAAGAGCTTAATAAAGGTTATAGCTCCCAAAGGGCTGGTAAGATTTCATCTTTAAAGGTCCTTAGTTTCTTGAGAGAGAGCAGAGCATTAAGCTGTATCAAGAAGGTCCTGTTCTCACTATGGAAACCATTCTGTTTTCCTTGGCACAAGCACAGTTCAAGTCATCAGCATATACACTGGAAGCCTATGGTAATCTGGGCTGCAGAACTTGCTGGCCACAATATACTTTTTTTTACTTATTTTAGTCAGCTGTTGTTTTTCTCCCTTTAGAGAGTGAAGCACAAGTTAAAACTTCTCATTCCATAAGGATAAGTTCTTTGGTACAGAGAACCATCTGTATAAGGTGCTCAAACATTGCTGCCAATACCTTCCTTTTTGCAAGTGCACAATACACACCTGGCCAACAGCCTGTAGTTCAGCACAGCTGTCTCACAACTGCCTGGATTTGCCAACAACTGTGATCTTTATGCACTGGAGGTCATGTTCCTAATGCAGCTAGATACCTCTCAAGAGCAGCACGTATGGAAATTACCAGTTAGGTTCAATTTGCATGTGATAGTTGAAAGAATGTTCCTACTTCACAGGGACTGGCAGGAGTGTCAGTGGGTTAAAAGCAAGACTTGCAGTTTGCACACACTCCCAGGTTGTTAGATACTGTACAGTACCACAGGGTAAGAGGAAAACGGAAAGGAGAATGCAAGTTAGCTTCAACTAAACATTTCAATACCATCCAAGAGCAGAAAAAGTGTATTTTACCTGTGCCCAAGACAAAAAAAAAGTCTCAGTTACTTCTTTGGGACTCTGGAATCACAATATGCAGTAGGCTATACAGTTCGGGAAGCAAATTTTGTCTACTTCCAGAAACAGACTAGTATATGGATGTACCACATTCCAGATCTCATGTTTTAAGCCACTGAACAGTGCCAGTTTAAATGCCAATATCAGCTGTGAAGCTGCTTATCTAAGACATTCTGCTCAAGGGATGAAAGCAAAAACAGGACTCTCACCATACTGCTTCTTATTGTGATACTCAAAAATGTATCACTTGCAAGAACTATCCAAGTTCTTCTTCAGCTCTGTGAAGAAAGGTTCTGGGTTTCCAGTAGTTAGAAAGTAGCCTGATTCAAAGGCCTCGATCTATGCTATGGATGGGAGAAGCTACCATAAACCAACCCAGCAGTGGTGAAAAACAAACAAATAAACAAAAACATACAAGTTAGTTTTTCTTTTTAAAAACATTTTTTTTTAAATTGTCTTTTTAAAGAGAAACTGTTTAAATGAGAGCGATATTTGAAGTCAGGCTGATAATTCACCTAAACTCTAAGTCTGTCAATACACTGAAAAGGTATTTTCATTTTATATCAAGCAATTATAACAAAGATGTTTTTACAATAGCAAAAAAACCTTTTATAAACAAATGCCAGGCTTAAAGGAATTATTTTTATTCTGTCACATGGATTTTAATGAGTTTCTCCTGTCACTTTAATTCACTGCCAAAAACACCTGTGCCATCTGCCCTTTGAGCCTATTGTGCTCACAGAAAATGGATTCTTTATTTTTCACTCCATTGCAAAAACAAACCACTGTGCGGCAAGACACAAACAGTCCTTTAAAAAGTTTCAACTTCATCTTTAGACTACGCCAAAGAGCTGAACTGAGGGACAATATTCGCACTTCTAAGTAGATACGTAATAGCAAATAGGAAAAAAGCCTTACAAGCACTGTCTTCTTAATTAGCTCAGCACAGAAAGGCTGTGTATGTCTGAAAAGGGACTAGACTAGTGTGCATCATATTCTTCCCCACTCCAAATTCCTGTCAGTCAAAGGTGTCCCGATTCCTCATCAGCACAGGTAGCAAGAAAGAAGTGTGCTTTCAGGATTTGGTTTTGTACTTCCACAGGACCAGCTGTTTCTGTCTGCAGACAAACATTTCAGCCCCTTTTCAGTGATGTCTGTGGCTCCCTTGCCTTTTTTCATCAGTAATTCAGTCAGCTCATACTCTACTGCCTCAGACGAGGCACAGACACCCATGCTTGCAGGAATGCACAATTCCAAATCAGATCACTCTCAGAGCATGGTACTAAACTCAAAGGTCTAAGAATCCTGTTTTTTACGAGGTCAGCCTCCCGTTTCTCCTCTCGGAGGCATTTGAAATCCACCTACCTTTGCAGCGGCCACGATGCGTCACGCTCAGACTCTGCTCACGGCATTTGGCTCTCTGGTAGTCGCACATCGATTCATATGTTCTGCCGTCAGAGGCACACAGGGGTTTGGACTGGGACCTGGAGCAATGCAGGTTACACTGAGGGTCTCTGTCACGGTCGCTTATTAAAAACTGAAGGAAGTGAAAAAAGGAAGGAGAAAAAGAAACAAAACAGTGGTTTTGTTTGGTTTCCCAAAACTGAGCATGGCGTATTTTTTTTTTTTTATTTATGACAGTAACAATATGACTACAATGCATTTTAAGCTGCCTAACAAAGCTGACTTTGCCTAAAGGGAACTTTAAATGAAACACGTACATCTTTAAAAAAAATTAACGGTCTTTGCCATTCCATTCTTCTTAATAAAATGGAAACATTACTCACTCTGCCTCACCTCTAAAAAAGTAAGATGTGCACAGCCAAACACAACCCACACGGGAAGGGCAATACTGAGTCACAACAGCCAAGCTTGCCCAGTGCTGTGCCACAAACAGTATCTGGTACTAGACAATTTTAGTCAGAGACACAAAAAATATATCACCAAAGACAGAGGAATGCAAATAAACTATCAAGATTGGCCTTGGTAGTTGAACCATGCATGTGACCAGTTTTATATCACCAGTGATGTTTTTGAAAGCATTATTTAGATCATCTGTAAATACCACCTGCAAGAGCATACCTGCACATTCCCAAAATCACCTTTTGTTCCTTCCTGATGAAACCCAGCTCACTGCGCACTATGCGAAAACCTATTTTGTTTCAGAAGTTGGAATTCATATCATCTTTCTGGATGCCTCTTCTTCCTGAGCATTCCATTATGATGCAACCCATTTTGTACAAACGTGGCATTCCCTTTGTCAGTCTTCTGCAGTTTGAATAATCCCGACCTTCCAATTTCTCACCCAGACCACTTCTCTCCATGTCATGATCACTACTGTTTTTCTTGGCGTTCTGCCTTATTTTTGGTGATGAGAAACCCACAACGCACATGAGTTCCCATCTTCTGTCTGCCTGTTCCCTGCAAATCCCAACATCTGGAAGTAGTTTACTGCTGTACCCTCAACTCTACCCTAAGCTGCCTATAGGGACACCCAGGTCTCTTCCCCAAGTTCATATTGTTTTCCTGAAGATCCAAATTGGCGGTCATCTTTCCATAACCACTTGCAGAAATTTTTGGCAAGTCACAATAGTAGCAGCCTTTTTCTCTTCCCATACTACCCCACTTAGTGGTTTGTCAGACCTTTATTACCCAAACCCAGTCACCTGCTCACAGTAAGATTTCAGAGGAATCTTCAAACAAGTTCCATGAGGATTAAGGAAAGAAAAGGCAAGTCAAACTTGCCTTGCACTTCCCCGTCCCTACCTCCCATTTCTACAGCCTCTTGCAACCCTGGGGGCACCAGAGCTGCTCTCTAACACACTGATATCCCAGCTCGCTGTCAAAGCAGTTCTGAGCTCAGCAGTTCAGAGCTGGCTGGCAAATGGGCACTGACTGACACCCTGCCTGTATGCACAAAGCCACAGCTCTCCAAGTGTGTTGATAGCTGGATGCCTTACAGGGAAGTGTGAGTCACTGCCATAATCACCTTGGTGTTACAGTTTCCTACAAAGCTGTCTACTCTATGCTTTGAGGTTAAAGCTGTTGAAAAAACATTGCCTGAAGCCTAGTTTGGGTTGGTTTTTAACCACTCCAAGAACATGCATCTCTGAAATTTGGTTGTTGATGGGTTTTTTTCATTACAAAAAAAATCTCTTCTTCCCAGTAAAATGAAAAACAATTGGGAAGTTTCATATTTTCATACTGTACTGCTGTATCTTCTAAAGACTAATGCATTATTAAACCCCCTATTTAAACATGACAGCTGGGAAAAGTAAGCAAGGTTTGCATTCATTTTACTTTTGTTGGGACAGACATTTTTTTTAATCTCATCTGTCACAGACTTGACGTATTTGTTACAGCAAAATGTTTTTGAAATGTTTTTGTTCCCTTTCTGCAACACATTCTATAACCTGGCAACACCTGCTCTAAATGGGAAATTGGAAAATTTAAACCTGAAGGCAATTTTAAATTGTTTATAGAGACCTGGACTAGACTATAAAAACACTGTAAAACTGGGCCAGATTTTTTTCTTTTCAGTGGTTGGACTATCACAACTTAACTTGGAATTGCTCTGGCTACAGTAATGTCTTTCTGTCACCCCAAAAATACAAAGACTGGTAGTGACTGTAAACATACAGCAAAAAGCAACTGACTGAAAATGCTGAAGCCTCCTCCCAGCATGTGATGTCAGACACTGAAAGACTCTACATGGCTTTTCAGGTTTCTGTATGTATAAACACATTTTCAAAGCAGAGCTGCCTGATACTGCCGTATGATACACATGCAGCAATTAAGTATTCAGTTCAACACAGCTCTACTATTTATCACAACTGGAGACTTGAGCTACTGGCATGAAACGTTTTGCAAATTCCTTGTCACAAGCTGAGTTCCAAAGGTATGAGTTATCCAGACGTTCAACAAAAAATCTAGAATACTGGTTCTCAGCATCAAACCATATTATCAACTTACTGAAAGTTATCTTATTTCATTAAAACTCACTTAAGCCTTCCACAGCCTGTACTAAAACACTTAATATAGTGGGGGCTTATACATCAAGAACACCCCTTCTTCATTTTAAAGAACAGAAAGTTGTTCTCAAGGCTGACAAACAAGTTAAACCTAAGGCTGTGGAAGAGCTTTCCTCAGGTGCCTCCTTGCAGACAGAGAAACAACTCGACATTGATGAATTATGAGGGCCTGAGGAAACATGCAGAGCACCCCAATGCAGTCTGTGAAGTTCTTGCCTACCCAAATTAAGCCAAGAACCACGTTATTAGAAAAAAAAAAAATTAAAAAAAAATCAAAAGCCTTCTTAGCATTTGTAATTTGGATTACAGTAGGGCGCCCACACAGCATGTTCGGTGCTTTCCAGACACTGAAGATGCCACACCTGCCTTGCCAAAAAAGTTTATGGTTTACATAGCTGCACAAGATGGTGCTTGTTTTGTTCAGGTAGATTGTAACTGTGCAAGTCTGCATTGAATTCAAGAAGGATCCAGGATCACACCTGTCTGATCAGAGCTGTTGTCACGCAAGCAAACCGTGCTGCCAGAAAAGCAACATCTCCAGGAGATCCAAAGGGCTTCAAAAACTCCCCCTAAGAGCAGCGTTCCTGCTCCACTGCAGCTCACAGCCCGCATCTTTGCTCAGCAGCCCTGACAGCTTTATTCAGGTATAAAATGGTGGTTCTTTGTCCCCTTTCTAGCAGGCAACCATTCCGCTACAGAAGCGATGGTCAATACACACCACCCACAGACATTTAATATACTAAATGTTTTGAGTGTACATCCCCTCCAGCCCAGCACAAAGTCTTCCTTTAGCATTTTGCCAGTCTGAGAGCATGGCCTCCTCTGCAAGCAACCTCAGCTGCATGAAGGAAAAGAATGGATGAATGCTCAAACGTGTCTGCCATGGGGAGATCTCTTGGTTCTGTAATTTTAACAGCTAGGACCACAAACCACAGGTAGTCAGTTTTATTTGTATTTTATAATTCCTACTCTGAGCAAGGAGGCACTGCTTTCCCAAGAGCACAGCCCTGCTCCAGAAGAGCCCCTTGGTCACTGCTGAGATACTCAGATATCACTGCTCAGATACTGCTGAGCTGGGCTGAGTGCTGTGAGCAATGTGCCCTAATGCCTGGTACCCACCCTCCCCAGACACAGCCGAGCCAGGAATGTGATTCTCTGGTCTTTCCAGGGGAAGAGCAGCAAGGTAAATATTCTGCCTTTAATCCCAAATGTCCTACAATGACCTTCGAAGCTCCAATCAAAGCCTGATGTCCAACAGCTCCAGGATGAACACACAAACAGACTTTGCCAACAACAGAATCACTACTCACAGCACTCGGTGCTCTACACACAGATACACAATGCGAGCAAACCTGCACTCAGGGAAAAAGCAAACCTGCAAACATGTGCAGCACCAGAAGCTTTCCAAGCTTCATCAAGAAAGAAGAGGAAAATAATTATCTTAGCTCTCAAAGCTTCTTCTTGATTTCTGTGCTCCCATTTGTTTCAAAACGGACTACATCCAAAGCAAATGGAATTGGAGACAGCTTATCAGTTCTTTATCTCCTCCCTTTTCCTTCAAGAGAAGAAAGCTATTAAAAGTAGAACTAAAAGGAAAACAAACAAACCACCACAAACACAAAACCCCAGCTAAAAAAAGAAAAACAAACAAAAAAATAACCAAAAAACCAAACAAGCTCCCTTCCAAAACTAGAAGGAATCATCTATTTTACAGGAAAAAAATAAAATTGACCAGACTGCAAATGGGATTCTTTGAATATAGACTCAATACTAAGGTAAGTAACACTAATATTAATCAACAGTATTTGTATTTATGTAACATTTATTTACACTAAGGGAGTCTGCACAGGACCTATTCCAGCCCCTTTGAGTCCCTGCCCTAAAGAGTTTTCAGTTCAATGCAGCTCTCAGAGCATCTTTTTATGTCAAATGTTCTATCTATATAAGGACACAAACCTCCTCCTTTAGCAAATACATTTACACAGGTGTTTGCAGAAACCACTTCCCAAACTGCTTTCTGCTCCTTCAGACTTGAAAAGAAAAAGGAAAGATAAGAGGTCAGAATGAAGTTAACTTTGCCAACAAAGCATATCTGTTCTTTTTCTCCACACCTCAACACCACTGCTGACAAACAACAAACACTGATTAAAGGGTTTTTAATGCCTGTGAAGGAAAGCAGACTCCCTGCAGCTGCACAGCAGCTGGGAACACTTGTGTTATTTAGCAGAAAAAGGTCTGACCCCACAAGTGAAAATGAGCTTGGTGGTCACTCATTCTATTCACCATCTGGGTACATTATAAGCACAAACAGAACAGCACAGCCTTTTGTGATGGAGGTAACAAGAAATGGCCAAGGCATTGTAGTACCACAGTAACATGCCTTAGCAAGGCTTCAGGGAAAAGAGGGAGCAAGGGACACAAATGACATGAACGTGAGAAAGTGGAAATCTATTGAGAAACAAATCTAGAGTTCACTACAGATAAAAACAGAGGTGCCTCTGCTATT